TTGAGTTGGAGTCTCACTGTCGCCCAGACTGGAGTGCAGTGGCCGCTCCCAGCCACCACAGCGACCTGCTGGGCTCTGCAGATCCTTCCACCTCAGCCTTCCAAGTGGCTGGAACCACAGGCGCGCGCTACCACGCCCGGCTAATTTTTGATTTATTGTAGAGATGAGTTCTCTCCAAGTTGCCCAGGCAGGTCTCAAACCCGTGGGTTCAGGCAATCCTCTCACCTCAGCCTCCCAAGGCGTGGGATTACAGGCTGAGCCACTGAGCCCGGCTAAAAAAAATTTTTTTTAAGTGCATGTAAAAACTGGCAAAAATCCAAATACAGTCTGTGGTTTGGTGAATGGTCCGTTTTATGGTTTTCATCATGCTGTAAGGTTATGCAGGATAAGATCATTAGATGAAGTTGTGTAAAGGCCACCCAGAAACTCTTCACACTACTTTGCAAAGAGGTAGCAATTAGCTCAAAACACACACACACACACACACACACACACACACACACACACACACACACAAAAGATCACTGTTGTTTGCTTCTTTGTTAACTTTTCTAGATACAGGCAGGCATTTGTGTCAATATATATCACTTTCTCTTATTTTTGACACAAATAGTAAATACATGTTCTCCTTCCTCTCACTTTGTTAACTTAAAATCCACAAGGTCTTAAAACGCCAATATACAAAGAGCTTTCTCGTTCTCTTTCTTTTCTTTTGGTATTTCCTCGTATAGTATGTCATTATGTGACTGTTATGTACCTTTTTGTTAGAGATTTTTTGGGGATATAAGTAAGGGGGTAACATCACTAATAAATCAGAAAACAACAGATGCTGACAAGGGTGTGGAGAAAAGGAAACACTTCTACACTGTTGGTGAAAATGCAAATTAGTCCAAACTCTATGGAAAACAGTGTGGCGATTTTTAAAAGAACTAGACATTGACCTTCCATATGACCCAGCAATCCCTCTTCTGGGAATATACCCAGAAGAACTTAAGTCGTTCTACAAAAAAGAAGCCTGCACATGCATGTTGATTGCTGTACTATTCACAATAGCAAAAACATGGAACCAATCCTGCTGTCCATCAAAAGTGAATGGGATAAAGAGAACGTGGTATATATACACGATGAAGTGATACACAGCCATAAAGAAGGACAGAACCATGGACTTCGTAGCAAATTGGATGGATTTAGGGTCCATCATACATAGTGATCTATCACAGAAACAAAGAACTGAATACCACCAGTTCTCACTCATGAGTGGATTCTGACTACTTATCACAATACTACAAGGTAGGAATCAGCAGTCGGGGGACACTGCCAGGAGAGGGAGGTACCTGACCCTAAACCAGGGGGAGTGAGGACCAGTTGGAGGCCCAAACTTCTCAGGCACGTTCACTACTTATGTACCTAATCCTGACTTGTACCCCATATCTCAATGTTTTAAAAAGAGAAAAAAATAAGGGGCTACATTACCCAGTGTCTTAGTCCATTTGGGCTTCTATAACAAAGTACCTTTGTTTGACCGGGAACCTTTTAAACAACAGAAATGTATTTCTCACAGCTCTGGAGGCTGGGAAGTCCAAAATCAAGATGGCTACAGATTTGGTGTCTCCAGAAGACCCACTCCCTGATTCTCAGATGGTACTTCCTCACAATGTGGAAGGAGCAAGGGGTCTCTCTTGGGTCTTTTTTATATGGGCACTCGTTCCATTCATGAGGTCTCTGATCTCAAGACCTAATCACTTTCCAAAGTCCCCACCTCCTAATACTATCACCTTGGGGGTTTGAATTTCAACATGTGACTTTGTGGTGGCCCCAACGTTCAGACCATAGCACCCCGTACTCATAAAAACCTTTTTAAAAATCTCGTTTAAGCATCTGGTGCTCCCTTGCTGCAGCTGTCCAAATCTCTTTCCTTCCCTCCTCCTCCTCCTCCTCCGTCTCCCCACCAAGCAGCCTGCCCTGGCCCACTGCCCCCCACTGCCCACCCTTCTGCTGTTTCCCCCACCCCCAGGCCTTTCCCTCCTGAACACCCTTTCACCTTTGTTCATTAATGTGGTCTCCTTTGGCTTCTCTAGTCATAGCCCAGAAGGATAATATAACACAGTAGTCCTCAGATGAGAGTATACATCGGAAACATCTAAAGAGTTTGTCAAATGCAGAATTTGGGGTCCCATCCTCAGAATTTCTGATTCAGTAAGTCTGGGGTGGGGTCCAAGAATGTGTATTTCTAACAAGTTCCCAGGTGATGAAGATATGACGATACCCATCCTAGGATCATGCTTTGAGAACTGCTGACATGACCAAAATCATTCAGCACCATGCATTAAAGACCCTTTCTCCTCCTTGAAAGGGGTTATTTTCAGCTGGGCTCAGTGGCTCAGCCTGTAATCCCGTGCTTTGGGAGGCTGAGGTGAGTG